CTCTGGATTGCGGGTCGCAGTTGTTTTTTGCCTAAGAGCACTTCTAATAGCCCGGAAAATACGGTATGTAAGTATTTCCCTCAAATTAAGTATTTCAAATTGACTACAAACTCACCCAAAGCCCTTTTGTCCTCAAACCTTTAAGAGAACTGCGTTGCGATTGTAATCTCATCACATTAAAGTGTTAAAAACCTGCCGAGGGACTGAAAATGGAAATTAGCCACGCTGGCTTTAATCTTTACATATTTACGTGTAAATGTTCATGAATATGTGTTGTCCTTTTACAAATAAATCAACAGATGTACAAGTAAAGTAAAATAAAGCTTTATGAGAATGTGGGCAGTAAGTTGACCATTTACGGCTGATAGCAGATAAACTAAAAAGTCGATGTATATCTCCTCTATTGACTAAATCAACTATAACAAATTTTACTCAATCCATTTAAAGTTGCATTGTGTAACTTTTCTGGCAGTGGGTCTGTGAAAAGCTTTTCTCCGTGGACATGTTATTGCTTTGTCTGGCATGTTCCACAGTACGGCTTTAAACCTTTCTATCCTCACGAAGACCAAACCAGACCAAGTTACAGGTCAGATCCGTGGAGAGGCGACGCTGCTCACAGTCAGAATGTCTGTTTTTCTGTGTGTTTTAGAGCTGTAAAACCACTTGTAAGTGAGTAAATGTAAAGTAGAGCTGTTTAATGTCACACTGTGGAACATTCCAGGCACCTTTAAAACCAGACGAACCCTGTGATCACAAAGAAAAACCTTCAGTGTCAGCTCTTTTTCCTTTAAAATGACACAGACGTTACTGTAAATCAGTCTGAGTACAGTCTGTGTGATAAGTACAGATATTCCCGTCGCTCTAAGTACAGCGTGTTTGACGACAGGCGCTCATTTCCCAGAGCTGAGCAGGTGTTGTCAGGTGTCAGCAGGTGTTGTCAGGTGCTGCAGATGGAGGTGTAGTGGTGTAGTGCACGGGGGGGCAGTACCAGTGCAGCTCGGTCTCCTTCTGCAGGCCTCTCTGGGTGACTCCGAGCAGATCCTCCTCCAGCTGCCTCACCCGCTCCGTGGCCTCGCTCAGCCGCCGCCGCACCTCCTCCCTCTCCTCCGACAGGCTCTGGGACGAACGCAACAGCTCCTACAACGCACAAACACAAGCACAAACATAAACAAACACAATTTTAACGGTCCTACATTACGCAAAACTGACTCTTGTGAGCTTTAAGTCATGTTATAATGTCGTTTCCTTCTCAAAAACAGACCTGGAGTTGTGTTTTGTTTCATTCACATGATTCTTATTCATCTATTTACATCTCCAAAAAGCTCAAAAAATGCTCTGATCCACCTTGTGATGTCATGAAGCGGCAGTTTTCAAGTGAACAGCAACCGTTTTTTTTAGTTCAGTAGAAATTGGCAACAGTGGCGGAAATAGCAATTTGCGGGCCCTAGGCGAAGTTGAGCTTGGGACCCTCACTATAATGCACCTTTTTTTGTTTTGTTTTGTTTTGTATCTCTATTTATGTGAATTATGGTGGATTGAAAACTTTTAGCTCAGTCACAGACTAGATAACCAGAACGGGAAGTAGTGTTATTTTTTTTGCTGGTACAATTACATTTGTGTTTACATCCATTACATATGATTATTATTATTATTTTTATTACAATTATTGTTTAAAAGTAATCTACTCTCATTTACTGTCATTTTGAGAAAAAATTTTATTGCTCTGAGGCCTCGTCCATTAGCAGCACTGAGGGAAATTGTCTGGGGGCCCCTCCAGGTTTGTGGCGTCTACTTTTGCCTAATGGTAGCGCCGCCTCTGATCGGCAATTCCAGGGCTGAAATGATCCAAAAGATTCTAGTCAAGGTTTAGGGAGTTTAAAAGTAGAGGTTTTTTTTGTATTACCACATGACATCACAAGGTGGAACAGAGTGTTTTATGTGCAGGGTTTGTGTGTTAAACATGTGAATGAAACAAATGAAACACAACTCCAGGTTATGAAGAGGGATTGTGACCAGTAGGAGTAGGAGTGTGCAAAAATATTAAAATATCGATATAACGAATTGTTTAATGTGATGATACAGAATCAATATCGTGAGCTGCTGTATCGATATATCAACAAGAGTATTTTTAGATAAATTTTACTATTCTTTTGTGAAAAAGCTACAGTTGTGTTGCTTGTTTGGAGGAAGTGAACTTGATGCAAAACATTTTCATTAGTATTTTAATTTTTTTTACTTAGCACAAACTTAGTAGTCAGGCTGGTGCCACCTAGTGTGTCCACTCAATTTCATTTTTCTCCAGCGACTAGGTCAGGAATCAGAATACACTAGACGGTTTGCCAATCAGTGAAGAGCTGTGAAGTCATGATGTCAAACTCATCGTGTCTGTCTGAGTCCCTTTTGTGGAACAGAACAACAGTAAACAAAGCATCGAGATGGATGTAGACGAAGACAGACATTCTGTGTTGGCGACGATTCCCGAGATCGAGGATTTAAAGTCGGAACAAAGAGAATGTTTGGTGAATTTTATCAAGGGGAAAGATGTTATTGTCCTTCTTCCTACGGGATACGTCACGACCAAACAGCAGCGATTGGTTAAATAAAAAAAGTACCCGCCTACCATCGATCAAACGAATCCTAATGCTGCGAGGTCAGACAGTTTCCATGAAGTGAAACCAGCCAATGAATCAGGCTACAAACTTAGTGGTTTAATAAAGACTTTCAGTATCACAGCCTTGATTTAGCCTCTGTTTTTTTTTACTGAAAAATATAGAACCAATGTGAAACATATCATATCGAATCTTATTGAATCAAAAGTGCACTGAATCGAAAAACATATCGTGGTGAGGTATTTATCGTATTGACAGCTTCTTCATGATAATACAAAAAAAGAAAAACGATCCACACTGCAGATCCTTGAAGCTCCCAAATTTTTATTTAAATGACACCACTGAAATAGAAATTGAAATAGAGAATAAAAATAAAAATAAATAAAAATCTGGGAGCTTCAAGGACCTGCAGTGTGGACCTCTTTTAATTTTTTTTTAAAACTATTTTTCACATTTATTGTTGGATGTGCATGTCTCTATTTACCAGTGTAGCTTCTTCATGATACCCAGAGTACGTAAAAATGATAAAAACAATATTACATTTTGGCATGACCCCGTTGTGCCCGCCCTCTGGCTGACGGACCAATCAGAAAGCAGCATTGACAAACCAAAATAAACTTGGAGACGCCAACAGACGGACTTCGAACTGTTTTAGTGTAAAGACAGACCGAGTGCGCTCTCCTTTTGAATTTTACAAACCGACGTCGCCCAAAAACGACAGACCCTGAGTGATCGGTTCAACCTCGATCCCGCTTCTGCGTCGGGTAACCGCAACGAGAAAAGTTGCGTCGCTCGCAGGTCGTCCGTGTCTGATTGTCAAACTCTTTAAGCGTTTTCTCTCCTCTCTCGGGGCTGTAAATCTTCCGAACTCGACTCTGTTCTTAGAAACTCTTCCATTTACATTTTTGTGCAGTTAAGAATTCAGCCGCACAAATCCTGACAGTTAAAACGTCGTTCTGGGGATGCCTCGTGTCACGTTTTAGTGTTATTTCAGCCCCGGCTAACAAAAGAAGCCAATAATTTTGACGCAGTGTAAAACGCGAACTATTTTATGACGGGACCACACAGACCTGCTTTTCCCTCACTGTTTGGATTTAAACCTGCGCTACGAAGCTTTTCTTGAAGATTTCACCTGCTCAGTCTCCATGGAGATGTTATTGCTTTGCCTGGAATGTTCCACAGCAGGGCATTAAATGAAACAAGCAGAGGAGTTGGCCAAGTTGCAGTTCTTCAAGGTGTATTTTCTTACACCTGTAATTTAATAAATACAAGATAAATATCCTTAATGCTACACTGTGGAACATTTCAGCCTTAAAGATGATTTTTTTTTTTTTTTTTTTTGACAACCTTGGCGATTAGATTTGCAATTCATGGTTTAATATTTGGATTCTGTTCAGAGTTTAAACATTTTAAACACGTCCAGAAGAAGCGACAAAAAGACTGAAAACTGAACTGACAAAATAACACAAGAATCACATTTCAGAACATGTTTGTACAGAGCTAAACTACAGTTTTAGTCGCTTTTATGGAGAAGAAGACAGGAGAGTTGATTGTTTTTGGAGGAAATTATGGTACTTCAAAAACTGTCAAAAATCCTCTCAAACTGCAGTTTCAATTCGATGAAACAGAAATACAACTCCAGGTCTGTGTTTTCTTTATCAGGGAACAATTGCCACGTTTACATGAGAGCTTTAATTCTGAATTAAAATGATTTAATTCCAAATAAAAATGAATTCGGCTTTAAAAAGGCCATGTAAACACTTCCATTCCTAATGAAAATGATTATTCATAATAAAACTGAATTCTGAAGTGAGTAAGTGGTTTATTCTGATTTTAAAGCCATTTAAATTAATTTATGAATCGATCATGTAAACCAGGAGTGTCAAACTCAAATTCACAGAGGGTCAAAATTAAAACTGGGACTAAGTCATGGGGCAAACTAAATATTTATTTAAAAATTTCAACAACATCTGCATGTTTTCTTTTGAGATATGTAATTTTAAGCCTTTTCTTGAAATAAATGTTTAACAATAATTTTGCTTAAACACTGAATCCAGAACAAGCTAAATATAAAATAATGACAAAAATGTTTAAATAAATAATGTTTCTATAGTTGATCTGTAGTCGGCGGGCAGCTCTAATACATATTTCATATGATTTCGAGAGCCAAATATAATTAAATTGCAGGCCAAATTTGGCCCCCGGGCCTGAGTTTGACATGTCTGATGTAAACGTTTATTCTTCTTAAAAATAACTGTGGTCGTTCAGCGCATGCTTGTTGGGTCGATCTTCTCTCCGGCTCCACCAGTCGTGTCTTCGGACTTTCCTCCACGTCTCTTTGGATTTGTGAGCAGGATATGGGAGTGGGCTGAGGTAGAGCCGCCTCACACTCACTTTGTCTTCTTCCTCCTTCTCCGACGCTCTTCCCTTCTCCTCCTCAGCCGACAGACGTAAAGCGTGATGAGAGAATTCTCCAGCTGCTGCGCAATTATCATCGAACCACTGCGAAAGAAGTTTGTACCGCGTTTGTGTCCGTGGGGTAACGACAAACCGAGATGATGTCTGGTCGACGTAAATACGTTCGTGTCTCTGTCCGATCAGAACCTTCCCCACCTCCAGACGCTGAGACGAACTGAATAAAGATTGTGATTGTGTTTGGTTTGTTTCATTGTTGACGATAAAAAGTCAAAATATTGGCGCCGTATATCGTGTATCTCTGTTTCAAATGTGTGGTGCCTCGTGGTCACATCGTGGATAATTCATACCCTCCCTAGATCCGTGTCTGCTGCACCAACATAACCATAAAACACAATCACTCACGCTGCCCGGTCTTCTTCTCATTACAAGATACGATCACGTTTAGTCCGTCTTTTTGTCTATCTCGGACTCAATATTTCAACCGTTGTGTATCTAAATCAAACATCTGCGATACAGGCTCCACCTTCGCTCCGCCGCAGCGCTCCCGGACACGGCCTTATCTTATCAACACCTCCACAAATCAACCTTTACAAATGACGACAAGCTGCAGATAATCTTCAAAGATAAACGGGCGCGCTCGCCGTATTAACTAACACTCATATTAATGCGTAAAACAATCACGGTGCTGTAATGTCGCTTTTATGATCTGGTGTTGCGTTATAAATCTCCAGGAGAAAAGGGCGACGCGGTGAGAAGCGGCGGAGGCGTCGGGTTTCGGGTTGCCTCTGGTCTCCGCGGCGACGTTAAATCACGTTAAAAATGCGTTTGACAGGAGGACATACTTTTAGGTTTTAGGGACACGCCCACTGCTCCTCTGAGAAATGACACAGAATGCACAAGTGGAGCGCTCAAACCTGCTTGTTTCTATGGTTACGTCACTGCTCGGCCTGGAATGTTACACGGTATGACTTTAGACAGCTCTACTTTATGTTTATTCAATTACAGGTCTCACAAAAATTCTCAAAATTTCTCAAAAATACCTAGAAAAACAGACACTCTGACTGTGAAGTGCACTGTCTTCCCATGTCCTCAAGTACATAGCTAAGATTT